GTATTCAGTCCTTTATCCACCACCTCAGATTTCCAGTCATCCACATACAGCACACACTGACTCACCCCCGTCTTGGGTAAACAAACTTATTGAGTAACCTGGGTTACCTGGTTTAATCTTCACAATACCTTCTATTTAAATGTTTGCACAATCCAAATCTCAAAAGCCAAAAAAACAAAACAAAACAATATTTCTTACATATATATACACATGTATGTATATACATTAACTATATACACACATGTGAGTCCCGTATGCTGACCCCGACAATGCAGTGACTGTTACAACTCCTCCCCTGTGTAATAACAGATGCATTGTCCACAGTTTCCAGTGTTGTGCATTCATCTCCCACACCCATCTGTTTCTGCCATGAAAGCTGCGCTCAAGCTGTACAGCGTGGGGTAACTATCCGCGGAGCTCCGCGCCTCTGCACAATCACTGCACGCACTGATCTGTCACTGGCAAAGACTTGTGTTTATTACAGCTCTCCACCCATTCAGCTAAACATGCAGACAGTGATTGGACTGGGCTGGCAGCCTGGATCTCTGCTCAAACTGCAGGAAAGACGCTTTCGACGAGGCGCTGACAGCTTCTGCACACGCTGATTTTCTCCTCTGTCACAGCGGAGCAACGTGTCTAGCTAATTAGCCATGCTATTTAATTAATAAAAATGGGATTAATAACTCACTGAGCCAAGATTCAAGCGACTCCCCTTCCTGGTACGCCATAGCACTACAAACATCGCGTGATGTCACCGGCGTGTGCGCGAGAGTCCGAAGAAAATAATTGTCGGAATTAATTTCACAAAAAGACAAAATATCTAATTTAAAAATATTTAGTTCTTCAACTTTGGCACTAAAAATGTAAAATGAGAATTTTCAGAAAGGAGCAATTTTTTTTATTCCAAAGGCATCTGCGAGACTACTAACCCGGGGTCCTAACCGACGCTCACACTTTCAAGATGGCTGCTTCCATCTCAGGATTATTAAAACCTTGGACGCCGAGGTAAAAGAAAAACAACCCTTTTACTAACACGCACACATTAGCAGGCGGTTTCGAGTTGTACGTTATTTATACATTAATATAATTTGAGTGACTACAAATTAAACTAACTAGCTGTGGTATTACATTTAAACCAGTTCCCCAAAGAGGTGAAGGCACGGGTGCAATGTTTAGCACATTTTATTTTTATTAAGACAGAATTGACAGTTTTTTCTTTACCAACACATTATCGTTTTGTAAATAATGATAAATGGATCCCACATGTAATTAATATCTGCATGTTTTCACTTATTATTTTATATTATTTATAAAACAAATCAGCAAATATACTCATCGGCCGGTTGTTTTTAGGTACACCTGTTCAGCTGCTCGTTAACAAAATATCTATTCAGCCAATTACATGGCACCAACTGAGTTCATTTAGACATGGTCAACACGACCGGCTCAAGTTCAAACTGACCATCAGAATGAGGAAAAGAGGTGAAGCAGATGAGCTCCAGCTGCAGAAGTCCACACCGGCTGCCATCTCTGTCAGCTAAGAACAGGAAAATTAGGCTACAATTTACACAGACTCAACAAAATTCGATAAAAAAGATTGGAAATACGTTACCTGGTGTAATGAGTCTTGATTTCTGCTGCGACGTTTGGATGGTGTAGTGGATATTTTTCCTTGAGCACCTTAGCACCAACTTTCATTTAAACACCACAGCCTACCTGAGTGTTTTTGCTAATCACGTCCATCTCTTTATGACCAGAGTTAATCATCTTCGGTTTGCTGCTTCCTGAATGCTCCAAGTCACAAAGCTCACATGATCTCAAACTTGCCACAGTCACCAGATCTCATCTCCAATAAACCATCGTTAGTTTGTGATAGAACAAGAGATTCACATAATGGATGTGTGACAAATCTGCAGCAACTGTGTGTGCTGTCATACCAATATGGAACCAAATCTCTGAGGAATGTTTCCAGCACCTTTTTGACTTTATGCCAAAATAATTGAAAATTAATACAAAAGGCAACCCAGTGCTAGCAAGGTGTGTCAAATGAAGTGGGTGGTGACTGTGGACATCTTGCTTTGTTTGACGAGCAGCCTGTAATCCAGATATTTAGTTTACAGCTATATAATTCTGGGAAGAAGCTGAGAGCGCCTAAATTTAAAAAAAAAAAGAAAAGAAGAAATACTAGAATTTTTGGTGATTGACTGACAAATAATGAAGAAATCCCTGATTCACAGAGACATTTCTGATGTGTATTGACAGTCTGTTATTGGATTTATTTAGTGGTGCTGTTTACTGTGTACTTGGGTTTTAGCCTTGTGCTTTATAGTAGGGTTTTCAAGGATATGTGAAAAATATTTGAACAGTTTTAATGTGATAGATTACTTGTAAATGGTCCAATTGATTAACTCTGAGTTATAGTTGGTGATGACCTCAATCATAACCATTTGCTTTAGCGAAACACAAAAAGGTTTTTTTTTTTGATAGATTAGGATTAGTTTAATTTTTTTTTCTTCAGCTGACAGTGAGGTCTGTCTGCAGACACAAACTACCCAGTAACTTTGTGAAACTCAGTTCTGTCATTTGTTTGCAGAGTGTTCCTGGTGAGATGGAGCAGATACAACCCTTATTATCTGGAACCTGAAGTCAGCAAGGAGGCCTACAGCCGACCAGAGACGGAGCTGAGTGCAGAGGAGAAGGAACAGCGCGAGCTCAAGGCCCTCAGGCCCATCAAGGCAGCCACCAGCGGAGTCTCAAGCTCTGTTTTTGATGACCCAGTCATCAGGTAGACTCACATCTCAGCTCACAACAACAGGAAAGATGTGTGCATAGGAATGTTCATGTCAGGTGATGATTTTTGTCTTTGTTTTTCAGTAAATTCATCAACATGATGATGGAACATGGAAACAAGGTTTTGGCTAGAGAGATAATGACACAGGTAAAAAAAACAATTTAATCATAAATAGCATAGATGTCAGCAGCAGTCTAAATAAACGGTAAATAGATAACTACTGCTTGTCTTGTGTTTAGACGCTGGAGAACATAAAGAAGAAGCAGGTGGAGAAGTATCACAAAGCTTCTGAAGGGGAGAGGGAAGCGATCGAGTGTAACCCCTACACCATCTTTCACCAGGCTCTGGAGAACTGCAAGCCTGTCGTTGGGCTAGCCAGCATACAGAAAGGTGGAAAATACTACCAGGTCAGTAATGAGACACACCATTGCCTGCACAGAAAACACAGAAAAATAAGATTCAATTCAGTTTTATTTATATAGAGCCAAGTCACAAGTTGCCTCAAGGCAACATAAAGACTCTACAATAATATAGAGAAAAGCCCAACAGTCACATGACCCTTCTGAGAAAGTATTTAGTGACAGTGGGAAGGGAAAACTCCCCTTTAACGGGAAGAAATCTCCAGCTGAATTGGCACCAGGGAGGGGCATCTATCTGCCATAACTGATGAGAGGGAGAGAGACAGGACAAATGATGCTTTTCGACAGCTTCCACACTTTTTTAAAAATGGGACACACAGTTTGTCTTTGTGGTTTGGTTTTTAGACACATCTGCTGATCTTATATCCGCAAAGCATAAAGGCAAGTAATTGCATTCCTCTTGGCCTATGACCCCACCCAGGTGCCCATTCCACTCACGGACAACAGGCGGCGCTTCCTCGCCATGAAGTGGATGATCACAGAGTGCCGGGACAACAAACACCGACGCACGCACATGTATGAAAAACTCTCCCAGGAGCTGCTGGCAGCCTTTGGCAAAGAGGGCAACGTGATGAAGAAGAAGTACGAGCTGCACAAGATGGCTGAAGCCAACAGAGCCTATGCTCACTACCGCTGGTGGTAGAAAGCAGCGAAACGGCGTCGACTGAAATCTGATGACTAACAGACTGGACAGAAGTCAGGTCAGCCGCAAAGAGCCGCAGCAGCTCAAAGTGCTGAGACATAAAAATCATTTGGACTGTAAAATGCTGTCAGAGGGATGAAGCGTGTATAAAGAAGAACTGAACATGGCTTACTGTCACTGTTGTATTAAGGAAGCTGTACTGTGTACAAGTGTGTTGTATTTGCAATAATAAACGCAAATAATACAAACTTACAAAGATTTATTAGAACAAACTTTCATTTAATGCACAACCCAATTATAAAAAAGAAAAAATGGAACGTGTAGTAAAAAATAGATTCATGTTAGAGTCAGGTCTGTGGAGTCATTTAGGGATTTGGTTAAGTCCTTCTTTGACTCATTGCAGTTTAACACACAAATGTATTTTTTTCTTGGTTTTGTTCATTTGACCCAAGAATCTGCAAGAAAAAAAAACACGCAACAGCTGAAATTTAAATCTCCCTACACTAACAAAGAAAATGATTTTAGGAGACAAAATACTTAAGTGCATCTGTGAACGGCTTTTAATTAACTTCTTTGTTTTTATCATTGTCAGACTGCCTTAAAGTCAAATTTCAACATACATTCTACAGATTGTGGTTATGAAAACAACCACATTTGAAAGATGTAATATTTTAACAGCACGGCACCTGTGCCTGAGCAAACTCCTGAAAGCCATAGTGGACTATCAAACGTAGTGTTGCTGGTGTAAAGAGAAGTTAAATCGTTTTGAAAAAACACTTTTTTATGAGCTTTGCAATCATAACTGACCTGCAAAAGGAGCTCCGATAAAGTAGAAGAAAACAGATCCCTCTGCCTCTTAAGGTAAAAATAAACATGTCAGTCTTTATGGAGTCGTTGGTACCATGTGATGGTATTCAAGTTACATCGGCACAGCTTGTTTAACAAATATTTTATATTAAGGAATCTGTTGTTTCTGCAGAAAAGCGGTTTAACCAATCGCTCTGTCTGCTGTTAGAAACAAAAAATAAAATAAATCCCTGAATTAAGACTCTGCCAAACTGATCACTAACAGGAGTTTTACAGGACAAAGTAAGCAGAAACTCTTCCCATCGCAATTTAAAACCTTTTCAAAATTTAAAGTTTACACTAAAATATCAAAATAATTAAATCAGGTTTCATCTGACTGGAATGTTATTTGGATTTGGTAAACTAAGGTTGCAATATTCTCTCAAAACAGGAATGCTAGAATGATTAAAAATGTAAAAAACAAAACAAAAAAAAGTTGCCTCAGCTCCTCTAGCTGTATCAAACCTGAACACAAACGTCTTTGAAACAAAGTGAACCTGAATGTGGTCAAACCTCGTTAACTCAACTTCAGCTCCGCGTGACCTATTGCACATTCCACAGCACGCGTCAGGAACATTGTATTAGTCTTTTTAGAGAAATCACCATCTTCTCAAACTCCTCCTCAGATTGCTTGGAAGATATTGCTATCTATCCTCAAAAAGCTGGTTTTGTAATCAGTGGTGCTTGAGTAGTGTCCAAGGTGCTTGAAGGCTCTAGTGCTTAGCGCCCTGCTCCTTGAGTCCTAGTCAGCTATTTCACTGTAGTAGTACTTGTGAGCGGTGCTGCTGAGCATCCAACCTCCGGCCCTGAATTCCAGGATCTCCAGCAGTAGCAGACGGGCCATGGACGAGAGGCCCTCCTGGAGCAGAAAGCCGTCCCGCAGCAGGAAGAACAGGTCATTCATCCGCTGGTTGTCCGCCTTCTCCAGCTGCTCTCCGATGCGATGCAGCTGCACCACCAGACAGTCCACCTGTGGAGAAAGGTGGAGACGCCTCAGTAAAAACGAACGTCACACTAAAAGGGAGATTATGGTTTCGCTGTGGTTATGGTAAACTGCCCAAATGTGGGCAGTATAAATGTTACATGCTACAACACATCTGTGGACTTACATGTGCTGTTATTGGTTAACCACCCAGCCACAGAGAAGAGTAAGTTGAAGCCTACAAAGAGCTGAAGTAAAACTAAAAGAGGCCATGCTTTTCATACTGCATTTTTTAAAAATCTTTGATGGGGTTTTTTGTGCTTCTCTGGCCCACTTTTCAACTAATCAACACAGTGTCATCCATGTCAAACAATGTGCAGTTAGGATGTTGGAGGATGGCCTGGGAGCACATTTGCAGTGGTTGAAAAATCTCTGTGTCGGCGCTTCATAGGCAAATACGCACACAAACGCAAACAAGCGTGCTAGCATAAATGAAGCACCAAAAAGTAAGCCTTTGCCACGTATCTATATTATATAGAATTTAAAGTTCAATTTAAATTAAGTTAAAAGTCATGAAATAATCTCTCTTCATATACACACATATTTGTAAACATTTGTACACAACAATGTGGAGCCAAAAACTGACTGAGGCCTTCTTCAAAATTACAACCCTTTGGCTACTTTATAGAAAAATGGCTATTAAAGTCTTTTTAACCTTTAAAATGAAAGTTAACTGTTCCACTATGCAGAAATTAGTGGAAGTTCATTGGCCAAAATGCAATTATGAAAGCTTCAGCAATCAATTTTTCAGTTTTTTATTAGCCTTTATAGATTTATATGCATTTGTAGTCAGACAAAAACCACCCAGTGGAACAGGAGGTATATCGACTGACTATACAAAACAACCCCAGTCAGTCCTGAAAACCACTATAGCACTTTTACACTTATATGCAAATGACTGACAAACACTTTCTCCAGATATCTTCCTCACCTCATCCTCATTCATTAGAGCGTCTGGTTTGGCCAACCTCATCAGGCAGTCATACACAGGATGAACCAGGGCCACCATCGGCATGTTGTTCACCTAAAAAACACAGTGTGGAGAGTCCTTACAGCAGCTCAGTATTATCAACATAAAACAAAAGGAAACTGTGTTAAGTCCTTGACTCTGATTTCTCTTACACAAAAGCCAGGATTGAGTAGTCTTACAATAAGGATCACTCTGTTTAAAATGCCAGTGGCTCCAAGCATGGATGAAACCTGAGTGTGTTAGCACCACACCTTTCAGGCTCATCTTTACACTGCCAATGAATAAACACCTTACTAAATGAGACATGACCTAGATTTTAGAAGCAGCATAATTAGCATCTGTTCAAATTTTAGTGGTTGTTCCTGGACACTTAAATGTGCTGCAGTTAACATATTAGGACCCCCAAGATGCAGCTAGAGGAGGTGTTTGTCTGCACTGTGGACATACAAGAAAAAAAAAGCACCATGTCCTCTTAATAAGGACAATGAAAAGGTTCCACTTTTAATCAGAGTGATTTAACAAAGCTGCTTTGTTTCCGCCTTCCTAAATTTTAATACTCAAAACTCTCTCTGTCTCTTACTTTGAGGTAGTCGAAGATGTTGCAGATGAACGTGACATAGCACACCCACTCCTGCAGAGAGCGTGCCCTCATCTCCTCGCGTTCTTTGAACTCCTGCTGGAGTCGGTTCAACAAGTGTCTCCTGAACACGTTTCCATTGCTCTGCTTGGCTTCAGCCTGCAGAAAGTGTCAAGCAAAGTGTCAGGCAGATAACAGTGGGAGGGTGGACAAAAAGTGGGAGCTTACTGACCTGCACTATAGTGTAGCAAATACGCCCAGCCTCTTTGCTGAACACGGGGTCCTTCAAAGACTGATCCACAATGATGTTGGATACTTTCTCCAGGTTCACCAGAGATGGATCTGAAAAGAGAGAATATGTTTAAGTGTTGTTTTTTTTACAGCACCCAAAAATGACACACATGAAGAAGTTAAGGGTTGACCTTTCAAGGCTGTTTTTAGTAACCTCTGCGTGTCCAGGTCAAATGACTGGATCCGGTAGTCTTCAGCAGAGTTTTCCATTACAGATGCAAGTAAACAAATTACACAGGAGGGCTGTCACCTGTGGAAATCAGACAGTTACTGCAAGCGTTTTCATGCAGAATATAAGCTTTTCAAAGACAGATCAAAAGGCCACAGTCGGAGACATCCGGGCACTTTTGGTGACCACAATACATGCAAAATCCTGTACAGTCATCAAATTGGCTGGCCCCCGGCCGCGGCTCATTCACTGAGGGATGGAGGGGATTATACAACCCAGGTCAACTAAAAAGTTCACCGAACACCCAACCAAGCATGAGCCAAGTTATCTTCAACTTGTGATGTGACACACCAATGTTACTTCCATAATCCATATTCAACTAGGTAACGTTAGTTTAGTGTAAGAACACGTAAAATTTCGTCTAACGGTAGCTTTGTTTTAGACAACATTAACATCCATTACAGCTGTAGTGGAAACCAAACGTTAACAGCTAGCATTGACGCTAACGAATCAGAGTGGAGTTTAATACTCAGCCTACACTTGCGTTATAACCGCCCACTGAAAGGTACAAACGGGTAAATATTTTCCCGAACTGAAAGAAAACGGTACTTAAATAATTGACCAAAAAATGGAGGATAATTATGTGACAATTATACCTATTTAATGCCAATTTGTCACATCTACGCTCAGGTAGAGGTATGCTCTGGTAGGCAGCCTTTCCTCGACGCAACCCTAACCTTTCGAAGATGAAGTATCAACAGAAAGATGAGCCCCTCCTCTCTTTCCTTCGCCGCAGACCCTATGGTCTTCGCCTAACCCAAAGTTAACGTAAACGAAGGCCTTAGTCTTGTACTTTCGAGGCCTGTCTACGCCATAGATGTCCTAAATAAAAGAGGATGTGAGTTTTAAGTTGTTACTTGCTGAATTTGACACGGTGTAGTGAGGTAGGGATTTATCTTGACGTGATATTTCGTCTTGGAGAAACTCTTCCGACCCGGCAGTAATATTAGGAGCGCGCTAGCAAGAAGTAGAAATCTGTTCCTGTTCTACTAATTTTGAACTGTACCAGTTGAGGTTCACTGTTGGAGCTGATGTGGTATTTATGAAGGTACGGTGATATTTGTCTGCTTCTGTTACAATTATAGCCAAGTTAATGTCTGCTCTGTTCTTAGTTTACCTTAGCTTAGTTTAGCTAGTTCCAAGGTCTTATTATGTGTCCTCCACATGTCTTTTTTTCTTTTTAATTTTTCTGGTCTTTATGGCATTTTATGGTTGTGTTATAATTATATAAATAGTGAACATGGAAGAAAACGAGCCATTAACAGACACCTAACAAAACACGAATGACATGGGTGAAGCTGTAAATGTAATGTCATGGAAACAGCTGCTAGGAAAAAGTCTTGAGCCACCCGTCGTTTCGTTTTTTTATACTTTACTTCGGAGGAGCCAGACATACTTGACATTTTTTCAGTGGTGTGAGCAATAGTTCTCCAGGCTTATAAAATTTTGTTTGTTAGTTTGTTTGTTGAACCACTGAACACTGGCATATGAGTCATTCAGGCATAAAAGGGCACACTAAATAAGTTATCAACCACTGTTGTGTATCCTTAAAACATTTGAGGAAACTGGACTGGTGGGTGGCAAATGAAAGCCATGTCCTTAAGAAATAGTAAAGACCGACACAGGGCGCGAGAGAGCCAACTGGCCCTGCAGGTGATCCATCAACTTTTCTCTGAAGTCTTCTTGTAAATAGTCTCAGTGTAAGGGTGGATGTCAAGAAGCCATGCTTAAGGAAGGGAGACAAGGAGAAAAGCCATCTGTAAAACATGGTGGAGGCTTTCAGAATGACAGTGATCCCAAACATGCATGGGGAACTTCTCCGGAAGACTACTTAAAGAAATTACAAGAAAGCTTTTCTAAGATACTTCAGGCTGTGATGTACAATAAATGTGGTCATATCAAATATTGACTTTCAAGCTTGTTAGGACAGTACAAAAAAATCTACAGAATATATACTGCATTCCCATGTATGTTAGCACGTTTCGTTTTACTGAAACACCCATTTCTCATTTTCATGAAAAGTATATAGAAAAAAGGAGTTATATATTACTGTGTATTGTTCTAAAGTCCATCCCCCAAAACCAAACTGGAGGTTTTATAACATCTAGCATGTAACTGTTGTTATAAATATCAAAATACTCACTTTAATATAGTTTTGAAACACCTGTGCTTAAGATTATACATACAAAACAAGCTCATCTCATCAAACATGATGCAGTTAAGATTATCTTTATCTATTTAAACTTGAATTAAAGTTTGTTTTTTAACTGTGTTAAACTGAACAAAGGGTTGGTCATTTGTCTCATTAGAGTTTCTAGAAACCTGAGGCTGCAGAGACATGGTGGGCTATGATCCTGGTGTCCAGGGTGCACCTCTGTCCCCAGAGGAGGCGGCCTTCGCTGGTTCAGCTGCTGGGATGGTCACCAGAGCCCTCATCAGTCCTTTTGATGTCATTAAAATCAGATTTCAGGTAAGGATGTGTACTTGTTTTGGGACATGTGAGACTTGCGTCCAAATGGTGAGAGAAGAGAGCCCAGAAGTGAGGATTCGTGCTCACTTTGAAGATTACAGTGAAGTAGCAGCTGTGACCTTTCAATTGGTGACTGTACTAAAAGCATGTGCAAACATTTGCATTCAGTTTTAAAAAAAAAACAACAACAACCTTAATCTCTTCACAGAACTCAAGAGATTTTTGAAGCCTGATAAATGCAGGTCGTGTGTTGTGTTCTTATCTGTATTTTCCCCCCTGTAGCTGCAGATAGAGCGCGTGTCTTCAAAAACACCAGAGGGGAAGTACTATGGGATATTTCAGGCAACACGCTGCATTCATTCAGAGGAGGGACTGTCTGCTTTCTGGAAGGGCCACATCCCAGCACAGCTCCTCTCTATCTGCTACGGAGCTGTCCAGGTACAACCTGCAAACTGTGAACTGCAGGCTAAGCTGAACAATTATATTACTCTAAACAATCTCAACAACACAGTTGCTTTTATTGTGTCCAATTTGCAGTTTGCGAGTTTTGAGTTTCTGACAGAGTTGGTCCATCAGAAAACGCTGTATGACAGCCAGACAGCAGGCGTTCATTTCATCTGTGGCGGCTTGGCAGCCTGCTCTGCCACAGTGGTTTGCCAGCCTCTGGACACACTGCGGACACGCTTTGCAGCTCAGGGAGAACCCAAGGTGGGACTAATCATTTCTGATCCTGTCGCTGTCAATGTTTGACAGAGTTTCATACATCAGCTCATTATACAGGTTTTTATTTTACAGTCCTACTTTCAAAAAACTTGGTGCATTGTGAAAAATGTAAATAAAAACAGAATGCAATGACTTGCACATCTTATAAAGTCACATTTTTTTTCAATAAAGAGTACAGAAAATATAGTAAGTGTTTAAACTGAGAAATTGTCCCTTTGGTTCTTTTGCCATCAGAATTATTGTCTAAAGGCGAAGAAAGATGCCCAATGGATTTACTTTACCAAATGGACCATCCCGGCCTTGCTGTTTTGGTCTATTTGATTCAACTTTGTTTTTATTCTTTATTTTATTTTATTTTCACTTGCTACACACGGGACAGACATGACTGGGGGAAAGAAAGAGAGGTAGGGAAAGAAAAACAGCGGGGAAGAGGAACGATGATAAAGGGAAAAAAACCCAAAAACCAACAAAACAAACAGACAAAAAATATATATATATCAATCTTCTGGATCACCTGTTGAGAAAGGAAAAAAGAGAAAACAATCAAAAAAAGAGAGCAATATAATAAACAACATCATTGCAATGATCTATGTGAATATAACAGTAAATACTAATTATTGAATATTATTGTGCAGCACGTAGGATCGACAGCACACAGTGTGCTTTGAGGTAGGAGCCAAAAAGGGTGTAGTTTGTGTCTGTGAGCACCCGTGTGTACACCTGTGAGCATGAGTGCGCTTGTATTTAAAAGGTTCCTTCATGTTCATGTAATGATCTGCTAGAAGGTGTGGGGGGCCATAGCCCCGTCCTCCTGGGCATGAAGCAGGTATGGAGGAGATCCAGGCTCCAGACATCCAGAGGCCCTCAGAGCACAAGAGCATATGTTGTTCTAAAACCTTTACATACAAATAGATGCAGTATTTAGTTTAGCATATGTCTTGCTGAAGTATGCAGGACCTTCTCTGAAAAAGACGTTGCCTAAGTGGAAACACATATTGCTCTACAACCTGTATATATATATATTTTTTTTCAGCATCAGTGGTGCCAATTCCAGAGACACTAACGCACCGCCATACCAGAGGTGCAGACTTGTGAACTGAGCTCTGATAACAACGCAGATGGTGTCTCTGCTCTTTAGTCTGCAGAATGCAGCATCAATATTTTCCAAAAAAAAGTAAAAAGTTTTGATTAGTCTGTCCACAGAACAGGTTTTTCACTTTGCCAAAGTCCATTTTAAATGAGCTTTGGTTCAGAGAAGGTGAAGGTGGCATTTACATATGACTTTATCTTTGCACGATGGAGCTTTAACCTACATTTGTGGATCATGTAATGATTTCTGGAGGTGTTCCTGAGCCCATGCACTGATTTCCATGACAGAATCATGCCGCCCGAGGACCCAAAATGATCACGGGCATCCAGTATTAATTTCTTCTCACTTCACTTCTTCTTTGTCTGTTGAGGACAGAGATATGCAAATGTGTTTAATTAGGCGAATGTAGAAATATTTGAGGATTTGGAAACAAGTTTTTGTTTCCCACACTACCAACAGCATTGAAGACCATTTCAAGTCTTACAACGATGAAATATTCATAAAGCATGTTAAATATTCTCGAATTCCTGCCTTAGGCAGAATCACTCACTGTATACTGCTGAAACCCAGTTTTCTATTTCCAGGTGTACAGGAACCTGCGACATGCTGTGTCTACAATGTGGCGATCAGAAGGAACTCTAACATTTTACCGCGGCCTGTCACCAACACTCATGGCTGTGTTTCCTTACGCTGGCCTGCAGTTCTTCTTCTACAATATCTTTAAAAAGTTGTTGGCTCCACGACCTGAAGCTGGGAACTCGGGAGGTGAGTGGAAACTCTTAATTGTGCAGCGTTTACACCTGCACAGGGTTCAGTTTAAAATCCTGTCACTTTTTATGTTTATGTTCAAGGAAACTTAAAAAGCCTGGTCTGTGGGAGTGGAGCTGGAATGATCAGCAAAACAATCACGTACCCATTCGATCTGTTCAAGAAGAGACTGCAGGTGGGGGGCTTTGAAGCAGCCAGAGCTCACTTTGGACAGGTAAGCTCCTCAACAGTATGTTTCATCATATTTGATTAAGCGCTCTGGGTTTGATGGTGAAGCATTGTCTTCTGTCTGTTCTGTGCAGGTGCGGAGCTACAGAGGTCTGCTCGACTGCATGGTTCAAATAGCCAAAGAGGAGGGCTTCCGAGGATTCTTCAAAGGCCTGTCCCCCAGTCTCGTAAAAGCTGCGCTGTCAACAGGCTTCACCTTTTTTTGGTATGAATTTTTCGTCAACGCCTTGCATAACTTCAAGGAGAAACGGGGAACAAATGTCATCACCAAAGACTTTAACAGAAGATGATGAAGGGGGGTGGGGGAGCAACACACACACAATCACGCACATTGGAAACTAACTTATGCCTTGTTATTTTCTTGCACTGAAAAAACTTGTCAACTGGGTCAATATCATCATTTGTTTCTGTTGTGTTTATATATCACGACAGAAAAATTACTATATTATGTTTGTTTTAGTGATGTCATTTGAGTGTGTGTCATAAAAGAGCTGGATTTTTTTTTTTAAAACATGAATTTAATGTGGGATTTCAAGGTTTGTGGATACTTGCTTTAAAAAGATAAGTGTTAGCATTGAATATTCAAACTGAACTTTGCACACTTTGCAAGAAAGTTGCAAGAAAAGAATACAACAAAATTAAGCTTTAGCTTTGGGATTGTGTGTTGGTTTTGTGCACAGACAAAAAAAAGCACTTAATATTTATTGCATTATATACTATGGAGGACTGGGTATGTGAGGGACTGTTAACTGAGAGTTCAGTTAGTTTGTTGTGTTACGTTACACTGTTAAAGCAGTTGTGTGGATGTGTCTGCTGAACACTATGACGTTATTATTTTTTCAATAAAGTTTGGATTAAGGAATTGTTTGCATGTGTGGTGTGTAGACCAGGATGAACATAGTGTTCACTAGAGGTGTGCATATGAATCAAATGCCTTTTGACACCTTTTATTAAAAAAACAAAACAAAAAACAGTTTACGTTTTGAAGTTTGGTACATGTGCATGGGTCATCAGATGCCCCCTAAATGATGAAAAATGAATAAGTGAGGACAAAGAGCTCACAACAGGGTTTATATATTTAAAATAAATAAAATAACTGAATGTGAGCATGTTGGATGCATACTCTTTGTTTGCATAAATGCCGACATACTGCTTACTCTCTTACAATTCCTCCATCTAAAGCACAAGTACACAGCACAGCAGTTGCACCTTAATATCTGCTAACCCTCTACAGGGAAAATACCAAAGAGTCCATTAGCTGTGGCAACATCCTCGTTTAGGTTTGACATTGTTTCTTGCAGATATTGGCAGATGTTGTGGGAAAGGCCTCAGAGGCGATCGCCTGTACTAATGAGAAGTGTATGAATTGAAAAAGGTAGCAAAAGTTGAGCATGTCGACAGAACAGAAAGTGGCGTGTATGGAGGTGTGGCCTTGCTCCTGAAATTCAGATAAATTATCTGCAGTATGATAAGAGGGGGAACTCAGTTTCAGCTTCATCTATATACAATTTCACGTAATATGTTGAGATATTTATATATTACAGCTATTTTGCAATATATTGTCTTATTTAATACTGCTAATTTAACTTGTTAGTTACTGTTCTTACTGTCTTGGAGCATATCTGGCAACAAAATTTCCTCTGAGATCAATCAAGTATTCTGATTCTCATTCTAATTTATACAGCATGTGTTGTAACTTTATTGCAGTTTATTGTTTGATAACAACATTTTGGTTATTTTGTAAGTAATTTAAGTGTTAGCCACATGTTTAGTGAGAGCTGTTAATTATAGATTTGATTTTCTGCTAAAAGGGAGCATTTAACAGGTATTTTCATTAGAAAACTGCGTTTCCCAGAATTCTTTGTGGTAGACGAACATTACTCTGGGTTTAGCTAGCAAAGAAAGTTTCGGGAAGCCATTATATGTTGCTCTGATGTCGAGCAGTTTATTTGTTGTACATCCCCTTTTGAAGCCCTATATAAAGACTATCATTTCTGCAATTGATGTCTGATCCGTTTTTTTTTGGCTAAGTGGATTCGCCACAATAGCATGACTTGGTTTCCAAAGTTGCATTTGAATGAGCCACAAGCCTGTCTTTCCATTCAGATAGATCACATTAACAAACTCTCCACACAGTAACGGATGCAGCCGTATTTACTTTCATTTACTGAATACAAAACCCATCAATAGTATGACAGTAAATGAACACAATAAAACCACAATGAAGTCAATACAGCAGCAAAACAACACCACATGAACAAGTCTGTAAAAACTCCTGTAAAACACGACATCACATATGAGGCTCAGATAAGGAAAACATTCAGTTTATAAATATTTAAGGGCAGCCTTGGTAGTCAAGAATCATGCTGTTTCATGAAGACATCGTGGCTGCTGAAACACATTACAGAAATGTCAAAGCGGCTTCATCACTTGATATGATATTCTTTTTGAGTCACATTTATATTTTTCATACAGTATATACAAGAATACACAATCACCTTACATCAGACTGTGAAAACCATAATACTCGACTGTTACAGTGGCCAACAAGAGTCCCAACTACATAATTCAGTTACCAAATAAATGAACAAAGCCAGAGATGTTTAAAGATAAAGCAGAAAACAAATGTTAAGTTTATGTGCACTGAGTCTCTAGATATCTTTTCACCAACACACCCTGAGCTTGGATGAAAACACTGTGGGATAAAACGATTTCAGGAATGTATGCTACACTCAGTCAGGCTAATTGGACTCCATACTGATTAATGAAAGGTGCAGACTAGCTGTTTTCTAAGGAGAAGTGAAGGATGAGGAGCCTGCAGGTGCTTTTGTTGGACTCTCACTGGGATTTACTACACCTTTACACTTGGCGGGCCTTGCTGTGGATGCCTAGCTGTACCTGTAAAGGCAGTCTGAGAGCTGTTGGCTTTGCTGGAACGCCGGCGAGTCGGCTGAGGGGCTGGGATCACCAGGACAGTCACTTCTTCTTCAGATGGCTGAGGGAACATTGCAGGATGTGCTGGGTAGGCATCCTCCACTAATACGCAGGTCAGGGGTGTTTAACAGCGGCTTAGCCCCGCTCTCATTCTGGTTGCGGACTGGAGTTCCAGGAGAAAAAGCTTGGAAGCTTGAAGAGTGAATCCCTGCGGCCTGGATCAGGTAGGGTCAAAGTCTCTGGAGCTGACTTCTTCCGGGGTCGCTCTTTGGGCACTGACAGGAAATCAGGGGCTTCGGTGGAGAGGGGAGTGGACGGGGCGCTGTTGGGTCCGCTGCGGGTGCTAGATGGCAGGGGGTTCTCTGAGATGGAAATGGTAGGGGGGAAAGTGCCAATCTTCAGGTTGGTGGCTTCCTGCGTGGCACGCTCGTACTCTCTTACTTCATCCATGGTCATGTCTGTTGGGTTGGAGCAGTGACATAATATTAATAATAATACCTACTGAGCTATCCATGTCCCCATATAAGAGAGACAAGGAATCTTTAGAATTGTTTTTATTAGAGTTTTTATGTGATATAAGCACAGTGATCTGCAATTCTACTAAACACATAATTTATTAACAATAAAACATAAAAAACACATCAAATTTTTAAACAGATGTGTTTCAGAACAGAGCTTAGTAGTAGTAGAAGTGGGGTGCTGAACTGGCCTGCCTGCGGTTCAGGCCTTTCACCTCTTAAAACCATTTGACCCATCATGAAATATGAAATGGAGCTAAGAAGACCCAGGACTGTTAAAAAGCTAGAAAATCAAGCAGCTCATATCCTTAAGTTCCCAGATGTTCATGGTTAAAAAAGAGAGGATGCTACACAGCAGTAAACGGGGCCCAACTGTTTTGAGACGTGTTGCTGCCATCAAATTCAAAATGAGCTAATGTTTTTCTTACTTTGGTACATTCGCTATGGTTTCTGTGTTCTACAATGAATAAAATATGAGTTTAAGATTTACAAGTGATTGCCTTCTTTGTATTTTCAATGTCCACAGCATCTCGAGCTTTTTGGAAATGGGACTTTGCAGATTTATTTAATGTGGTGAGGCTGCAAATGTGGAAATATTGCACACAGGTTTCTCAAGGTCTTACAACTAACTGCTTCAAGGGAAATACGCGTCAGGAGAAAACTGTACTCTCAGTTTCCCGTTCTTAGCTGACAGTAGTCACACCTGTGGTCTTTTGCTGTTGTCCATCTGCTCTACAGTTTGACATGTTGCACAATCAGAGATGTTGTTCTTCATACCTTGATTATAATGAGAATTTGAGTTAATGTTCTCTTCCTATAAAAGCAGTCTGGGCGTTCTCTTCTAACCTCTGACATCAACAAGATGAAAAATCAAAGTTTCTAAGACATAGTTTCAAAAATACACAAACCAGCCAAATGTCTGTAGGAGGAGGTAGGATGTGGCATAACCAATTAGCAGAGGTGACACTACAGCTAACTGGAGTCACCCATCTAGTGTGTGGAACATTTTATATGTTATCATTCTTCCTGAATGTCCTAACAGGCCATTCAGGAAGTCTTTTCTCTGTTTTTGGTGGTGGAGGTTCTAGCATTTACCCTATTTAGAATTATTAACAGGTATCTGTTCATGCATACACCCTGCTAAAAAAAGCTTGCTAACATTTAGTTGATAACTTAGCACACTACGCTCATGTCCAAATATGACAAATATATCCAAATATTTCCAACTCCAAAAACACCAGATGGAGATGGTCACAAAGCTAAAAGTTGATGAAATTAATAAACAAATTGATAATGTCATGCTAGCTATGTCCATCCTTTGCATACAGTCTATGATCTCCATCTTAAAATGGAAAAATGTATGTGAAGGGGGTGCAATTGTGAGATGAGTCAGTGCCTGCACATGAAACTAACCCATGTTTTCTAAAGACTATCATCTTCTGCACACTTACCAATCCACTCATCCACCCAGGCAAAGGCCTGCCTGTGTCCTAAAAGCAGCACATCTCGGATCACCTGAGGAAGATTACAAAAAATAAAAAGAGAGAAAAGGGAAGCAAAGGAGGCAAGATCACAGGAAAATGAATTCAGGCAGGGACAGAGGCAGGGAGGAAGTTCAAGGAGAGAAGCTGCAAATCAGATGGCATTTGCTCTAAAGGATACAGAGAGTTTCACTTCATTTCTCACTTCAAAAATTTTCTGTTCACCCCTAGAGGATTATGATTTATGTGGGACACTCCTGGTGCTAGCCTGTGAGTAATGAACCTGCCTCCAATGTGTGTGTGTGTGTGTGTGTGGGTGCCTTGGGCAAGGATAGTGCAGGGACAGCTGACCCGAGGGACAGATGCTGTAGCAAAATGGATTTGGGAAATGAGAGATACAAAGTTGAAATTCTGCAGCCAAGAAAAAGGGAGGTGGTGCTGCAAGGCAAGCTGTGGGATGCAAACAGGGCAGATATTGTCGAAGGTGATAATGGAACTGCTGATCTAGCTCACGGCCGTGTATCACATGTTTTTAGAGCAAAAGATAGGACGCCTCTGGCTCAGACGATGATATAAGTAGGCTGAAACTCATCTACAATGTGTCTCTTGCCCCCAAAAATGGTTTGTCCTGACCTTGTGTACAAACTGCTCCACACGGGTTTGCAGGCCCCAGACTTCAAATTTGACAGTGACCAGTTTGTAGGAGCACATGATGGGGTCCTGGGTGTCGAGCCATCCTTCCTGCAGAAGCCCTCGGTTCGTCTTCTTTGACTTAAAATACCGAAGGTCCTACAAGGCCACAAGACACCAGGTTCAGAAAAACATTTCAGAAAATTTTTTCCCCAGAAGTTAAATAAACACAAACAATCTTATGTCGATAATCCTCATAAAATTTACATAAGACCATGAGGAAAATTTGTTGAACTGTTTTCAAACCAATACTTCAAATTAAAACTATACTTCCTGTCATCTAATCTCTCTCACACACATCAATTTCCTCCTCTCTGCCCACAGGACGGGATCATCTGCTTTTATCTATGAGGCTAATGCAGGGTATAGCTAAGAAGCACAGTGGGAGTCTCAGAAACTTTACACGCATTAATCGCTGCTCCCAGTGGACTAATTATGCTGTGATGCTCATTTGTCTTAGAGTCATGCATCTGAGTGTGACAGAGTGTCTCTATCCCTGCTGGGAAAGTACTTGTAGAGGAGGTGGAAGACGTCTGTTATATTCGTCTGCGTATAAAATGTTTCATCAAGTGTATTGAGAGACGGAAAGATGAGAAATGCTAATGACAGATTAACTGCTTTTAAGCGCATTTTTTAATAAGCAAATATCTCTTCAAAAGATGTTTTACTTCACTTTTACTCTCCCAGAAAACGCTACGTCCAGATGAACAGAATCAACTTTTAGAGATTTATTTTCCTGGATGATTGAGAATGCATCAAGACGTTTACTTCACTTACTTTTCCTCCTGGTTTTGCTGAACAAGTTTCATTAACTGTAGATTGTATTTCAAGAAGGTCTAAAAAGTGAAGCCAAAGTCAAAGTGCTTTAAATATGATTTCTTTCTGGTGACCAGCAGGGAGCAAATCCTCTGGCTGCAAGTAGTTTGGTTCTATATACTGTGTCATATATGCTGCATCCAGTCAAATCACCAGCAAGTGTGAGGATCTCTATGAAAACAGAAGTTTTTGGTAGTTTGCAGGTCTGGAGCATTGCCACAGTCTTGACGATGCAGCAAACTCACCCAAGGCCAGACTGCGCCATGCTCGTACAAACGGCAAAAAACTCAAAAGCATTTGTCACTTTATGGTCTCAAATGTTATTTTAATACCTTCTTTCATACATCATGAGGTTTATTTTGAAAATGATGTTCATATTTGGAGTAAAATAGATTATAACACAGACTAAGTTGTGACTGTGAACAGCATCTCCAGGCTTTAATAACAGCAGAACACAAACACAACATAGGTGACATCCATCTTTTCTATACGAGCTATGGCTTGAACTAATATCAGTGGGGCAGAGAGGCTTTTTGTTGATTAAGATTACATCAAATTCCATTAAAATCAAGCATCTGACACTCATGCATGTGTTGACGAGTATTGAGCCAAACGTGGTTTTAAAGATCCTTCATTTTTTTTGTATTAATTGATTTCTCAGTGTGATGCATGCTGGTTTTATTTAGTTAAAATACGTTTAGACACTACAATAACGTCTTTTTATCTTCAGCACTGGAAATTCTTTCTTGTCTTGTGGACGCTGGTTGCATGCGTTTGCATCATGAGCACCTGCTGTCAGACCTTTGACTTTTTTCTCCTTTGTTTTTAACCCCGTCTCTTTTAAACTTGGACATTTGACACAGTTCATCTGTTTTTTAAAATAATATTTACATTAGACATCTGACTTCTATGTTTAGCTCTGGACAGCATGTCTGTGCTATTCTTAGCTCTCAGTGGTTAAAAGCAGAAGAGCACAGAGATCGGTGGGAGGTGCGTGTGTGAAAGTGAGGGTGTCAATAATAAAACTGCAGCGCTGTCATGACCCCTCTTGGTTATTAATAGCTCAGCTTTTTATGACCATCACGTCCTGATAGATGAGCGAACGCACGCGCATACAAATGTCAAATCTCCACAGCTAATGCCCATCACCTCCCCCACACATAAACATGCGTTTCCCTTCCTTCTATCGCCCAGAGGAGGCAGATGGCCTGCTGGTGGTCAAACACGAGCTGGTGCTGGTGGAGAAAAGATAACACCCTATTCTGTTCCTTTCTCCTCACATCTCAGTTGTTGACTTCTCTCCTCCTCCCTCCTATTCACCCTTCTTTCCACTTCCTTCCGCAGTATCTGTGCCGTGGCTGCAAGTATTCATTCACTCCTCATCCTGAGGTCAGTGACGTCGCTCTCCTCACCTCCGACTCCTTGTAGTGGCGCTCGGGGATCTCATCGTAAGCGATGTCCAACAAACACACATCCATCTCCTCTTCTCTGGGCTCACTGCCAAAGATCTGAGGAACAGGGAACAGTTCAGTATGTGAGGACAGCTCAATCAGTGGCGTTGACAAATGCTGTGGGATGAAGTGCCGTCACTTGGTGGATTTATAAAGGCAGCTTCACGCATCACGTAAATGCTGGGAGTCATTTTAGTCACACATCATATTGCTGTACAGGAAAGCAGTGGTTGAATGGGTTTACGTTAGACAAAACGATCATTTCCTGAGCACGTCCCGTCCTTCTAGCTTTACCCTCAAACAAGGCCAAACAAACTGTGAGTAGGAATGTGAGTCACACCAAGTGGTCAATGATTTCCTCCTGTGTGACTCACGGGACGCAGCAAAGCAATGTTGACTAGTTATCCGCTCCTTTCAGAGCAGTGAAAGTGCTCTTGAGTCATGGACATTAATTAAACTTCCTGCATTCTTTGAATCTTTTCCATGGGTATAGGGCCAGGAGCAAAGGGCAGGGAGTCAACTGCCAAGGTTATTACAAGAAATGAGGGAGGCTGGAATAAAGAGAGAATAGCGGTGACTGCACAAATGGTGGGACCAGTGGGGTGTTAACATGAGAGCGGAAAGACCCTTCTATTGAGTTTGCCTGCACCCACATTTGTTACAATCAGTTTCAAATGTGAGATTTTGACCATCTGTGAAACCATCGGGATGTTCTTGCAACTCCCATAATCCACCACTAGGTGGGGCCGCAGCCTTTTCCTTCTACTACATTGTGTGTTCGAGTAATATTGTGCAACAGTCAGACTTGCCTCCACTGCCAATACCAAGTGTTGCTCTGAAGGTGAGGTGGAGATGATTTGAAGTGCTTTTACCTGGTTTGAAATACTCAACACAACCAGCAGGACCTTGTCAGGTTGATTTAATAAAAGACAATTACAGTCAATCTATTTTATAGCTATAGTTCTGTGGAAAAGTTTTTAACCAGCTCTTATTTCTTTATATTTTACTTTAAAGGAGCCAGACTTTCTTGTAATTTTTAACAGTGGTCTTAAACATTAGTTCTGCAGATTGTCTGAAGGTTTTTTAATGTTGGTCTTAAGACAACAGGCTGCTTTTTCACTTGCTTTCAGTCTAGTCCAGGCGTGGGCAATCTCAGTCCACGGGGGCCGGTGTCCCTGCAGGTTTTAGATGTGTCCTCGAACCAACACAGCAGATTTAAATGGCTAAATTAGCTCCTCAACATGTCCTGAAGTTCCCCAGAGGCCTGGTAACAAACTAATCATGTGATTCAGGTGTGTTGACCCAAGGTGAGATCTAAAACCTGCAGGGACACCGGCCCTCGTGGACTGAGATTGCCCACCCCTGGTCTAGTCCGTCTACGTGACCATTTTCAGTGGATCATTTGAACCATTGTTGTTTCTACACGTAACAAACAACTTAGCAAAGAACCAATTTTAAATTTTGTCTTTAGGGACTTTCTTACTAGTCTGTCTTGAAAAACACATTTTTCTGTGAATTAATTGTATGAAAAATGCCAAAGACACTGAGGTTTGACAGGCATAAAATTGTATGTTTGCACCAACAAAGTGATTCCGAAAGAGCTGTTAACCAAAAACTTTGCTCGTTATAGAGATTCAGACTGTCCACCTATTGTTCAGATGTGTCTATCTGGCAAAGTATCTATGAGAAATTATCATAATGACAGATTGAAAAAGAGACATACTTTTCTACAACTGCACTGATTGTCCAAGATACAAATGAACCAAGACAAAAACATTCATGTTAACAGTCGCAATCACTGCCTGAAGAAATCAGAACAGAATGACTGATAATCCTCCTGATGTCCTTGGCACACAATGATGCAATAACCCTCTGACAAAGAGAATTCATTATTTTTGATTTTGGGGAAAAGACAAGAAGCAACAAGATGAGGCAACAAAGCAGACAGCAAAGAGCACAAAAGGGCAAAGGTACATGACAAGAGAGAACCTAAATTCTATCCTCTTTCTTTCAGATGCAGCTTTGTTCCTACGATTCACTTCCAACGGCACGGCACTCGGAGCTTTACTCACATTATCATTGTTCCCTTTGTTATCCTCATATTTGGTCTCAATGTGGATGGAAAACTTGGGCAGGAAGGAGCACTGAAGGGAGGGAAAAGTGAGAAATAAACAACGCGTGAGTTTCTCTGTTAATAACTGCATTGCTTAATGTCGTTTGTTCCAGCCCTTTTTCAGAGATTTTTAACATTGTAAGCTTCATCAGTCTGCTAAAGTGACAACATCCTGTTGTTTAGGTCAATATGTGTGCATGTAGTCTTACAGTAGCTTACTCTTTAGCTTCGCTGCATTTTAGTTGCTGTGCTGAAAGCACAAGAAGCCGACACGCTCAGATGCCAGATCAGATTAATGGAGAGGACTGTGTGTCTGACAGGGGCTTATATCTTGGGTTTTATTACCCAAAACCAACGCAGTAATGGTTATTCTCTCACTCCGGAGATTTAAAACCACATCACACTTTAGTGTTTTTGTCCATTTTTACTGTCTTTAACCAAATTAAAGCTCAACACAATCATTATACAGTGTAGAAGGATGAATACTGGATACACGAGCTGTAAATGCAAAAGCCAGTGTTTGTGTTTATGCATGCCATCAATAAGTGATGCTACACATGGTATATTCACAGTGATGTGGAACGAGAGGCCTTATTGTAATTACTCAGCACAATTCAGTGGCCTTGTGAGTCTTAAAGAGAAACAAGAAAACTGTGCGAGGTGTGTTTGTGTGAGCGTGTCTCTGTGTTTCTGATACTGATGATGGTGACAGAGGATAAATGTCTACACACGTAAAGCAGCTCTAACATGAATTAGTAGGTTAACAAGACTACTTTGAACCTACATCAGTAACAACTGACCTGCTGTTTCAAGTCAAACTGGTCAATATTAAAAAGGTGTTTGTCATTTACAGATGAACAATGAAGATATTTCTTTAAAACTAAGAAATTTCTTTAAAACTGAATTTGGTGCTAGAAATAAATGTCCAAGACCATCACAGTGAGCACTCACAGTGAGACGTGTGTAAAATCAAGCACCTCTCCATGCAGTCTGCCTTGTTGTTACAAGTGTGGTCCTGTAATAAGATGCCACCACTGCAACAAGTCAGCTGGTGAAATGTCTTCCATCTTAGAGCGCAATCAGCTGTAAGTGATACAAAAACCATGGCAACTCAGCCACGAATGACTGCAGAGCTCCAAACCTCCTGTCGCATTAACATCAGCACCAAAACTGTGCACGGCTGGCTTCGTGGTATGGGTTTCCACATGGGAGAGGAGCTCCTGTAGGAGTAATGTGTTGTACTCTGCAGTCAGAGTAAGAGGTAACGATGTGACATGCATCCAAAAACCACAGTAGCTGCTGCCACAGCGCTCATATTCTTAAGGCTGTTAACTCAAGAAAGGTTTCACAGTTTCACATGAGCTGGCGTGACCTCCCTGAAACATCCAGATGCTGCAGAGGCAGTTGCATAATCTCAGCGAGGCTAAAGAAATGGCCTGCTGCTGATTTTATATGTGGTTCACTGATGCATTCCTGCTGCTTCACACACAGAGAGGCCGTGTGCGTGCGTGCATATGTGCATGTGTGTGTCTGGGCGGGCATGTCTTAGGGCATGTCTTCTTAATGTCCTGGTGCAAATCATTAGTGCTTTTTGTTGGCAACAGTCAATTAAACATTCAAACAGCTGAGAGCTGTGGGGTTTCTGTTAATGTCTTTAATAAAAAGTTCCCCTGATTAGCTCATATTGACCAACAGGCTGGAGCAGCAGGGGTGCAGCTGTTGTTGAAGCAGATCTGGACGCGAATCTGAAGCTCTAACAAGTATGTTTGATACTTTCATGTGCTTGGAAGTATTGAATAAAACAATTCAATTCAGATGAGTGTCTGGGCTCAATCTTAGGGACAGACTGAGGAGCTAATTTATCCAAAAGCAACTTGGATGTTTTTTTTTTTCAGGATTTGTCCTTAGCTTCTCCCTGTGGAGATATTCCACATCTACCTAACTGGAAGCTAACTTCAGAACAGATCTCTGCACGCTGGAGGGATTACACTCCTTCCACAGGGATGCCTCGACATCTGTGTTATCCTTCACTGCTTTGTGCCATCAGCTGCCAGCAGCTAATGATGACTATTGCTGTCTCGCAGGTTCACTTTTAAAGCGACAGTTGAGACGATATTCATAATCTTAATTTCCATTTTTATCCCATTACTTGGGTGTAAATGAACCCTGATGTTTTTGTGTTATTCTCATTTTCCAAAATTATGCGTAGCAAAAAATCCCCAACGTCAAAAAGAGAAAGAGAGGTGAAAAAAACAGAAGGTAATAATAAAAAATAAGTTTAAAAGAATAAACTTTGTTTGGATTTAATCGAGGTATCAGATCACACTGGGGATCAGACGTGAAATTACATTTGTTTCAGATATGCATGGTGGTTTTGTTAAAGACTTCATTTGCTGTGAGCACAATCTGATGAAAAAAAGGACAGAATAATAAGATGGGCACATTTCCCTTTCTCTTTTATTCTTGCATATATTCTTATATTCGTATATACCTGCAATCACAACACGTTATTTATGGCAGTCATGATAACTAAAAACTAGATTTGTGTGACTGAAGAGGTTAAACTACTTAAACAAACATAATGCTTCAAATTGAACTGAGCTGTATGGTGTAGTGCCACTTGTTCTGGGTCCTGGGTCTTTAAATCTGAGGTTTTTTCTGTTCTTAAGTTTAATGTTTGTTGTCATATTTGATTTTCATGTTCCTTTTTAGCTTCAGCTTTGGCTCTTTGTTCCTATTTTGAGTCATTTGTTGTGTTGATTTCATAGCAGACTTACTCTTCGTGTTGAGTTTAAGTGCATTATGGTGTTGTCGTTGTGCAAAGTTAGTCACTACACGTTTTTATTTTGGTAATCTTTTCTCTTTCGGTCTTGTTTCTAATTTTACTTCCTCCTGTCTCATTATCCTTGATTAGTTTCACCTGTCTGTTCCCTATCCCCCCGATTAACCTTAGTGTATAATCAACTTTTAGAAATAATGCTGTCTTCCCCCTAAGTCTGTGTCTCAGTGTCTGTCCTCGCATGTTCTAAGCTTAAGCTGGATTCATTTCACTTTGTTTTCTTTGTACGCTATAAAGTAGTCCAAAAGTATTTACTCACCCATCCAAATTATTAAATTCAATCCCTTTCATCAGCACAGTTGCATAAAATTAAACACCTAGGCATGCAGACTGCCTCTACAAACATTTGTGAAAGAATGGGTCGCTCTCTGTGAGTTCCAGCATGGTACAGTGATAGGATGCCACCTGTACAATAAGTCCAGTCATGAAATTTTCTCACTACTAAATATTCCACAGTCAACTGTTAGTGGTATTATAAGAGAGTGAAAGGGATTAGGTAGCAACAGCAAATTAGCCTCGAAGTAGTAGCCCATGTGAAATCACAGAACGGGGTCAGCGGCTGCAGAGGCACGCAGGTCACAGAGGTCGCCAACTTTCTGCAGAGTCAATCACGACAGACCTACAAACTTCATGTGGCTTTTAGATTAGCTCAAGAACAGCGCGCAGAGAGCTTTATGGAATGGGTTTCCATGGATGAGCAGCAGCATCCAAGCTTTACATCACCAAGTGCACTGCAAAGTGACGGATGCTGTGGCGTAAAGCCAATCGCCACTGGACTCTAGAGCAGTGGTGACGTGTTCTCTGTTTCTCTTGTTCCAGGAAGTAAAGCTGAGACAGGTCCAGCTCAGCACCCACATTTCTGATATTTTCTAATATTAAAGTGCATATTTGTGCCCATGTATTTTGAGAACTCACAGGCAGGACTTGGGTTAATATGGACATTGCTTCATGCTGTAAATGCCCTGATGATTGTTACAACCAGTAAATATCAAATATCACAATAAAGTATAGTATTACAACTGTCTTGTACATGCTGCTCAGCATGCACTGATGTCCTTGATACTGATAGTGTTGGGTGTTGTCAGAGATGTGCTGGACTCAGGGCTCAACAAACATAACCCGCTCCTCTTCTAACACTCACCCTTAAACTCTACAACACGAGATCTTCCAGGCAGCTGGTCGATCAAAGTGGTTTTGTGTGTGTATGAGTGTGTGTGTCTGTGTGCAGGTACACCAAAACTACTCACCGTGTACTCTGACCACATCATCAGCAGAGGCCATCAGTATAATGGATGGGAATGGGAGTTTGAGGGGGGTGGGGAGGTGGGTGGGGGGACAAAGGCATGAAAGAGAATGAGAGAGATAAGACGAGAGGAGAGAAGAAAAAAATACTTCAGCTCACAATGAAAAAAAAGAACCATTAAGCCTCAGCTCAGTAGCACTTCATTTCCAGTAAAAGCACATGAGAGGAGCCCATTTCACTATGATATTGCTCCATTTTTAAAAATCTGTGTGACACTGATTGTTTTTGACATGCACGGTCCTGCTGAGCGCATATTTAGTCTGTCATATAAACACACTGTACATACAAAACTCCTAAATGCAATATGATGTTTACTTTATGTTTTGTGACATTTAGAGCTGTTCTAGCTCTGCTATAAGCTTTTTGAAAACCTAATGCTATCGCTTTAATTTACACATTTGATAGAAAGCACATTACAGCTAATATTTTTAAATAAATCAAAGAAAAACAATCTGACAGATAAATACCGACACCTTGTTGCTGCCAAATTTATTGTGGAAATGTAAAAACGGAACGATGTTACACTGTAGAAATGACCAGATTGTGAAAAACAACACTTGACAATGAAATAGGCCAAAAGAATTATTTTCCTAATGAAACAAACAGATTTCCCCAACATTTGATACCAAATGTAGGTACTTATCTGTACATACTAAGAAAATGACAACCAAGTTTAAAATGAATCTTGTTTTGATGTGATCAAAGCGGTAAAGAAAAACGACACAGTCGTACACTCGTGTCTTTGACGCAGCTGGCACAAGGCAGCAGGTTACAAAAATCAAGACATACATGACCTGCAGAAATGGCAACTAGCCAATCTGTTGTCAACTTTCTCATTTGCAAAGCTCTGCATAGCAGGTGTAAAATAGCCCTAACACTTTACTCAGCTCAGCTGGACGTTGTGTTGGTGCCATTCCGAACAGGCCAACAGGAACGTTGCAGAGTGCCCTCTGGTGTGCAAACTATCTAATGTCATCACTCACAACCTGGTTGAACGGTATTTCTCCCATATCTTCTTTACTTTTCAATTTTTCATTTATCAGCCCTACAAATGACAATACTGATATTGGTTTTAGCAAATATCGGCCAACATATCAGCCTAGCTCTAATGTTGTGGTCGGAATTAAAGTGTGATTTTTATCATGCACACAACAGTGATGCTAAATATTGAGAACAAAAACAGGCAGATTACTCCCTTTACGGCAGTGTTTATTCTAAATCTATTTGCTCTGGACAGAGTTGTGATCCTATATCATTGCACCAATTCTTCTAAATTCTTTTAGAGCAGACTAAGGCGTATAATTAAAGCATTACCTGTGATAGTGTATGGGTAATAGTTCCAAGCCTTCTCTGTGACATAGAAGATCTTGGGGACCACTGCTCTGGCCCAACTGGGGAGCTTGCTGTCAAAGATAGATGAGTGGATAGGTTAGTAAAGTTAAGAAGAAGAAGAAAGAGAACAGCTTAAACAAATAGTTTGTGTACAGCATGGTAGTTTCCTCTTAAAGTTTCTCCACTCTTCTTCTTTAGGCTATTATCTGGAACAGGCAACAAGAAGCATCCAGCTGTGTCGAGTCATAATGGTGGCTATACAGGGCAGCCATGATGGTCCCTTGGGGAAGTTGATTACACCCTGTACCCTGCAGGGGAGTTTCACCAGTGTTCATTGTGATAGATATAGAAAAGGGCATGGAAGGCAAATAGAGGAAATACAGGGGGAGGGCTATTACTCAGCACAAATGGATTCTAAATGCTGACAGCCAAGTAGCCGAGCACCTCATTGGATGTCTAATCAAAAAAAAAAAAAAGAAGAAGAAGAAAAAAAAAGATTGCTGCGGAAAGGGAACATCAGGGCTTTGGTGAGCTGGAAGGAAATTGCCATGTCAGAAATCTGAGAAATACACAAATTTACCAGTGAATACCAGTGAATGGGGAAGATTGACTTTTGAGACTTTGACATTTGGAACAGTAAGTCCTGATTGCCAATAGATGCCGAGAGAAAAGAAGGGTTGCAGACAGTCATTACTGAGTGCCATCAGAAAAAATTCACTACAGCCCAAATCACATTTAGTCCAGATTTCTGCTCCCTGAAAAGCAGACAATCAAAGCGCAGCAAATAGCAGCATAATTGGACTCAAAGTCATCATTAAGTTGTACCTTTCAGAAAAATTCTCTCTTAACCACTGATTATTTAACTCTCACATCTCCAACTTCTTCTCTTTTTCTTTTTCTATGTCTGCTAGTTGTAAGTGAATATGGAAATTGAGCTGGTTTGTCACTAAAGCCATTTTACACAAGAACTTTGGATAATTTTAGAAGAATAAGATCAGGATATTTGAAAAGTTGTCCTTTTTTAAACTGGGCATGCAGCAGGAAACGCTCTGCTACTGGAGATACTCTGTTTTAGGAGAGGGAGCTGCCTAGATAGAGACAGCAGGAGGCAGGACACATGACGCCCACTCACCTGCAGGCAGGCAGAGCACTAAAATATTAGTGTTTGCAGAATGCAACATTATGCATACATTTTACAAAAGGTGCAGGCAGGTTAAAGCAACTGACTAATGTCCCGTGTGACTGTGCTGGAAATTTGAGTTCTCACGTGCACCTCTATTAGATAAGTCCAATCAATGCTCAGGGCTGCAGTGTGTATCTGCAAATGGCTTAAGACTGTATAAACTATGGGAACATGAGGCAGACAGTTTCCTTCAGTCCCCTTCTAATAACCTGTCAAACAGCCAAGGGAATGTCCAGACACAGCAGACTAGCCACATGTCCTCACACTGCCTTATTTGCAAGCCACACATACACATACACACAGACACACACGCACAGAATGCAGCTATAACATACTAACAGGTGGTTTGTGGGTGGAGGGATGCAGGCTCCACTCGGTGTCCGACAGCGACTGCTCAAATTATCCATCATTTACACTGACCTCATCTTTCTGTGCACACACACACACACACACTATCACACTCGGCTAAACACACACCACACTCTGCCCTCCTCTTCACTGAGTTTGTCAGTGACACTTTATATTTCCCAAAGGCCCACTTACTTGTCACTTCAGAGCACAAAAACTTCCACCTCAGTCTTCTTTGGTATTCTTCGCATGGATCGCTTTTTATCTCACAGTCTGACTTTTGGCAGTGAGCGGCTCAATCTTGTCTCACAGAATCTATCTTACCAGAATAAGACTATACGAAATAATAATAATAGAAAGTAACATTATTGCTTTACCTGCACAACAATTCAGTAAATTTTAATGGATTAATGGATAGACACATTTAGACATCGAGTTTATGTAATAGATTGTTCCAGTTTAATCTCTTCAAATACTGCATTGTTGGTGCCTTTCGGAGCTTTTTCATGATTATAATCAGGGCTTAAGCGGATCGGAAGGATCTGTAACAGTGAAAAACTGTTTCACAGAATCGCATCCAGTCTTGTAGAAAAGTAAGTACAATTGCCCCAAGGTCACATATTTTCCCTGGTCATACTATCCTCTATACATTGTATTGTAGTGTGTTTATATTCTAGTTCATTGCTGTTTTTCCTGCCTCTGTGTGTTTCCATATGTAGTCTGTCTTATTGCTGTGTTTGTCTTCCTTTCTGTCTCGCCAGTCATGTCCATGTGTCTGTCTGGTCTCAGTATTCTGTTCTCTGGTTTCCTGGTTTGTCCAGTCAAGTTCCAGACCTTTCTAACGTGTTGCAAGTTCCTACATGGTTTCTGTTTTATTTTGACAGTCCCTCTTCTTCTGTGCGTGATGTTCGGTTTATCTTCCCCTGTCTTGTCAGCCAGATTCTATTCAGCTGTGTTCCCCAGGTGTCTCCACTTAGTCCTAATCCCCTACTGGTGAAACTGTCTGCCTCTGTTCTTTGTTTGGTCCTCCTTCATGATGTGTAAATCTCTAGCAGCCAGGTTGTTCCTGTTCAGCTCACTTACTGTTTTTGGTTTTTGTTTAATTTGCCTTTTTGTCAGCAATAAAATAAATCTGTGATTTTGAGTTATGTCAGTCTACTGAGTCCTGCATCCTGCACACCTGTTCAAATGACGCAGTCAGCTAAACCTGTCTTACAGCAGGAAAATATTCCCAAGCAAAGCAGAAAATCTACAACAGAATAGTTGAAAAAAAGAAAAAAACCCAAGGTACTGCAATAGCCCAGTTAAAGTCCGGACCTTAACTAGACTAAAATGCTATGTGTGAAATGCAAGACTTTAAGAGAGTTGGGCATATAAAATCTCTATGACGCTAAATTAACTGAAGGAATGATGTGAGGAGGAGAGGACCAAATTCCCTACATGATGATGTAAGAGACTGATTAAGTCTCTAAAGTTATTGCTTACTGAAAGTGGTTTAAAAAGCTACTGAACCATAGGGTTTACTTACTTTAGTTTTTCACAGGACTCCATAGACGTCTGTGAAAATGTTTTTTTTTGCCGCCTATCAGATTTCCCAAACTACAAATCTGATAGAAAGACTCATGAATGAGTTCATTGTTCAAGTCATGTACAGTGGCTTGCAAAAGTATTCGGCCCCCTTGGACTTTTCCACATTTTGTCACATTACAGCCACAAACATGAATCAATTTTATCAGAATTCCACGTGAAAGACCAATACAAAGTGGTGTACATGTGAGAAGTGGAACGAAAATCATACATGATTCCAAACATTTTTTACAAATAAATGAAAAGTGGGGTGTGCGTAATTATTCAGCCCCCTGAGTCAATAATTTGTAGAACCACCTTTTGCTGCAATTACAGCTGCCAGTCTTTTAGGGTATGTCTCTACCAGCTTTGCACATCTAGAGACTATCTATCAGATTAGATGGACAGTGTTTGTGAACAGCAGTTTTCAGATCTTGCCACAGATTCTCGATTGGATTTAGATCTGGACTTTGACTGGGCCATTCTAACACATGGATATGTTTTGTTTTAAACCATTCCACTGTTGCCCTGGCTTTATGTTTAGGGTCGTTGTCCTGCTGGAAGGTGAACCTCCACCCCAGTCTCAAGTCTCTTGCAGACTCCAAGAGGTTTTCTTCCAAGATTGCCCTGTATTTGGCTCCATCCATCTTCCCATCAACTCTGACCAGCTTCCCTGT